CGGCCCGCCTCGTCCATCATCGCGGTGCGCTGTCGGAGCCGATTCTCCTCAGTCGAAAGGGAAAGGAGGTCGGCGGGCGGCCGAAGATTAGGCACCACCTCCCGCCCGCCCCCGACATCGCTGCCAGACTTCGGAGGAGCCGTCGTTGCCCTTGCGCCTCCCCGCAAGCAGCTGCCATCCCGAGGGCGCAGGGAGGAGATTCCCTCTACTTCGGAATGAAGAACTTTCTCACGTTCTCTTGTCCAGAATCAGACGAAATCTTTGAAAGTGGAACCATTCCACACATTAGAACAGAGCTGAGTTTGCCTCTCAGATGCATCCCCCCTCCCAGTTGGTGGCACAGCTGCACAGAAGTGCAGGTTTGAACTCATTCGTCTTTTTTCGTTACAGAGATAAATCTGATTTCTCTGGCCCTGTGTGAACCGAGAAGAGCTCCATGCTGAATCAGGTAAAAGGTGTGTCCTCTATTTGCTGGTCCCCTCCTTTTCTTTCTGAAAACATTTGGTGTGACTCCTGACTCTAGCATGCCCTTTGCACAGGATCACCAGGAATGTAGGAAATAAGTTTGTAACGTGATCCAGAACAAGGTGCCTCTGTGAGTGTTTAGAAAACTGTTCCACCATGTCCTGTAGAACAAGGATCTGTAAGTGAACAGAACTATCAAAGAAACTTGACTACCTCAGGTCAGGTAGGGTAGACTGAATTGACTAACCAGCCACAATAGTGCAATCAATAGTGCAATCTGTCTGTTTACATGCATCACACATAAAACACAGGCAGAGCTTCAACGACGTGGTCATGGATGCCCTGTTGACTTTTTTTTACGGTACCCTGTGGATACCTCTGTGGCCAAGGATGATTCCCAAGCCCTCGGTTGGCACTGGCACTAGGGGCCTGGGCAGGGGAACCCAGACTTCCCTCCCTCCCTGCTTTCTTACATTCTCCAAATGTGTTTGGGACAGGAGAATTAATGTGAGGTTATTATTTCTCTTTCAAAGCTCTAATGTGGGACAAAATGTCTCATTCTTTTCCCCTTGCTGAAACTACCAGTTGCTGGTCCTTTGTTATATAACTTTTTTTTTTCTGAAGTAGCTACTGGTGCTGTTTGGGTTATGCTAAGAGGCTTTCTGGCTCCTAAGGACTGTGTAGTGTGGTTCTTGACAGTGAGCAGCAAGACCTGACAATGGCATTTAATGCCAAGTAATTACTAGAACTGGGACTGCAACATTGTTTTTTGGGTGGGGGGGGGATGCTTTCAAATCAGTGTTGCTTCCTGGCGACTGCCTGGACAAGTCCCTGCAGTTTTCTTGGCAAGATTTTGGATGTGGTTTGCCATGGCCTCCTTCCTAGGGCTGAGAGAGAGAGAGACTGGCCCAAAGTCACTCAGCAAGCTTTGTGCCTAAGACAGGACTAGAACACACAGTCTCCTGGTTTCTAGTCTGGTACCTTAACCATTACACCAAACTGGCACTTGGGGACTGTTACTAGAGCTCTCCGTTTTGAGAATGGAAGAGGGCTTTATTTTTTTCCTCCAATTTGAATGTAAAGAGCAGAGTGAAAGAGGGAGGAAAGAAGAAAGAGGACTCTTTGGAACATGTTAGAAGAGATTGCTAAGAATAACTTCATAACTGATGTGGTTTAATTATTTTTAGAGTTTATTTTATTTTATGCTTCCTCAATCTGGTGCCCTTCAGATCTGCTGCATTATAACTCACTGAGATGGGGTGGGGGAGATGGATCTTGGTTACCTTGACACAAATACATACAGCCAGACACACTCTTTTTAGCTGATAGCAGAACCTGGGAATAAAATATTGTCCCGTAGGAAAAGAGGCTGCTGTTGTGCTCATGAGGAGAAGGAGAAATTGTGAGACTTAAAGGAATGACTTCTGGGAAGAAAAACGAGGAGAAAGAATGGCTGCAAAGCAACATGGATACTCTGTTGAAGATTGGTTATTGGTTTCAGGAAAGCCTGAGATAAGACTCTTGAAATGGAAGGGAGCAGAGATTCTGGAGAAGATCCAGTGAAGGAGGAAGAGGTGGAATAGGGACAATTCTACTAATTGCAGATGGCTTTTGTGTCAAGCTGAAGGGCTGAGGGGAGAGATTATGTTCATATCTTACATATTCACTAGAAAGAGCGTGCTTTTCATTTCTGAAAATGAAACAAGTTCCTTAATCTTGCCTGCTGTGCTGATAAAGAAGAAGAAAAAGTCACAAGAGATGTCTTGGTGAAAGAGTTGAGTCATGTCCCATGAACCCATAAAGTCCTCATGACAAGGACTCTGATTTAATTCATGTATTGCAGCCACTGCAGGTGCAGCCTCAAGTTGTGGTCTGGTGGAAAGGCTTCTTAATCCTTCCCACGTGTATCAATTTCATACTAAAAATAATCTTCAAATTACTTTTGCATCCATGGTAGAAAATCTGGAACAAACATGCCCTGGTCACACCTTTTTTTCTGGCATGTGCCCATGAAGTCACTAGGAGTGAAGCTCAGCATAATGCTAAGGGAACTTTTAAGTTTAGGGTTGGAAGGGAAAATATCTGGGAACTTCACATAAGCAGACTTAAGAAGTGGAGACAGATGGGAGAGAAATTTGCTGCTGCTGCTGTTACGACTAATTTAAAATGTAACTGAAATCGACTTGGGCTCATCCAGAGATATGAAGGGACTACTGTCTTCTCTGGTTAATGGGCCCTGAATTAAAAGTTCCTGACCTTTCAAAAGAAAATAAATTTGTGGAGATGAAGAGACACCAGGCCTGGCTTCCATGAGAAGTACATTATTTCTGGGGACCTTCTTCAGTGATGTCAGACTTTTGCAACCTGGTCAGTTTCAGATACATTGAGGCTATGATTCTAAGTACTCCCAGCCAGATTCCTGAATATATTGGGGAAAGGTGAGCTATGTAACTTATCTACAAAATTAGAGTAATCAAATTGCTGTGGAATAGTATTCACTTTCTTCAGATTAGCTACAGAGCTGATTGGCTAACCTTTGGGGCATTTCGAAGCCACCTCCCTAAAGAACATCCTTGAATATTTTTGAAGTTCAAAAGTTTCAGTTTTTAAAAACCTGGAAGATGCTTGAAAACTCTCTAAAAATATCTATCAATCTGCCCGAAGTATGATGAAAACTATTTTCTATTGCTGGATTTGGATACAGGTATGAGTATTCACTGATGATAGAAGTCAGTGTTTGCAAGAACTCAAAGAAGTACTTACTGACAGACAATCCTAGTGAAATTATGTCCATTGGGTCACAAAGAGTCAGGACTGCCTGAATGACTAAACCAGTGTTCCTCAACCATGGCAACTTTTAAGATGTGTGAACTTCTCAACCTTGGCAACCTGGTTCTGCCACTTGGCCTGGGGTGGGAAGGGAATACCTCAAGCATGGGGATGGCTAGCCCCATAGAGGCCTCCTGTCTTCAGCCTCAG